TAAAATTTTACAAAAAACATAAATGATAAAAAATACAGTTCATATCAGCTTTGCACGTCTATCATTATAGTTTAGTCCTTGAACAAACAATGTTCAAGACAGTTTTTTGAATGTGTTGATATTGAAATATTTTCATATTATTTACTTTCGATAAAAACACCAAAAAACGAACTTTGAAAAAAATAACAAGTTCACTCTTCAAATTTCTAATTGTGTTGTTAAAAATAATAAATGTTATATTAGTGATGCTAAAAACTTGTTAATTGATGATTCACCGTTGTTCATTTACGATATGAAAGTTAAGTTAAGTAGATATGATGGTATCAATAATGTTTAATTTTTATGAACTTTGATTAAAAAACACATTTCGAAAAATATTAGACATTGTTGTAAACTATTCAAACTATACCGAACTATACTTGCCAATAACAATAATTACATAATAACAAAAAAACAATTTATAAAAAATAATAATCTTAACAACATATAAATTTTCAATGAATTTAATTTCGTGAAAAAGAACAAAAATATACATCAAGAATGATTTAAAGCATCATTTGGAAGAAAAAAGATCAAAAAAGAATCAGTTTATAAAATCAAAGTGAAAAATGAAATTTCTTTGAGTAAAATTATTTTTTTTAAAAAAATAAATTCTATTTTAAGAAGTGTACGACAATTTTCTGGTCGACTTTATAGTTTTTTTATAGTAAAACGACGAATATTTAATTTTAAATAGTTAAAGTGAGTTACTTTATGCCAAGGTGAGTTAATAGCCATTAATACAAATCCAAGAAAAACATACCGGCATAGAATAATTTGTAGTACATTATAGTTTTTTGTCTTTTTTTTTCAAAATTTTTATTGAAAAAACCATTCAATAGTTTTCAGAAACCATTTTTATAGTTTGCCGGTCATTTTTTTAAGTTCTGTAACAGTAATATATTGAAAAATAATTATAAATAAAAATCATTGTTTCAGTTTTTTTACTGTTTTTATGATTATGTTTTTTATGATTTATTACATATTTCAATCTTTTACAATTTTTTGTATATTTTTGCAAAAGGGACAACGTTTGAGAATAAATCCATTGGGATGTTCATGGAAGTTTGTAACCAATTATTGTGTTTCTTTTATCGTGTTTTTCCTTTTTCAAAAACCAGTCATTACTTTTCACCACATCAACAAAAAATGGCACGTGTTCATTAAATTAAATTATTCTATTCTTTATTTGACAATTAATTTAATTGTCTAATTATTAGAACAATGAAATAGGTTCCAATAGATATGATGATTTAAATACATAAACAAATAAGAAATTACTAAAAAATTAAATTAATTTCGATGAACTACAATATTTGGAGGAAACGTTGAATTCCATTTGCAATAACACTTGATGGTATGTTAATACTACTCAAATTAATACATTCACTGAAACATAAATCACCAATATTTGTAACACTTGATGGTATTGTAACACTATTTAGACTCGTGCACCAACCGAAACAACATAAACCAATTGATCTCACACTAGATGGTATGTTAACACTGGTCAAACTAATGCATCCACTGAAACAGTTATCGCCAATAGACCTCACACTAGATGGTATTGTAACACTAGTTAAATTTCTGCAATTACCAAAACAACCATCACTAATTGATGTAACAACAGGTGGTATTGTAACACTGCTTAAACTACTACATTCACAGAAACAACCTTCACCGATTGATGTTATACTTGTGGGTATTGTGATACTGCTTAGACTGCTACAACCATAAAAACAATCATCACCAATTGATGTAACAACAGATGGTATGTTAACACTGCTCAAACTACCGCATCCACTGAAACAACTATCACCAATTGATGTCACACTTGATGGTATGTTATTACCAAATTTCTTTCTATCATTTTGAGTGTAAGTGACATCCTTAAACTCGATGTTTCGACTTTTGTTTCTGTCAACAATTTCAAAATCAACATTGAACCACACAATGATTCGAAAAAACTCTTTCTTTAAAACAACTTCATTTTCACTATCTTCATTTTCTTTTGTGTTGATCATAAATATATTGACAAAATTACCATCTTTCACATCCCACAAGTGAAGTGTCTCGATGTTTGGAAAATACTCAAGTGTTTTAGAATTCAACGGAATTGGGTTGAAGTGGAACTTCTCCATATTGCCACAAAACTTCTTGCATACCAACTCCAAGTTAATTAAGTCGTTGATAGTCTCAAGGTACTTCGAGACTATCATGATGTGATACCCAGAAAGTTTAGACATTTTGAAATTTACAGTTTTTCGTTGTTTTAATATTTTCAAATTTATATATATAAACATTTTTAATAAATTATCAAATTAAAGTCATTCACTGTTTTAAGCTATATATAAAGAAATATTGGTAATAATACTATTTTTGCATAGTAAATTAATAAATTAAATAAAATACATTATTGAAATTTGGATAATTTACCCGAATTATCAGTCGTTTTAGTTTATTTCTTTTGTTATACATGGCAACACATAAAAAACAAATGCTAATAAGCAGGGCTGCATACTTCAATTAAATAATCGTTTTTTGAAAAAGAAATAATGGTATTTTATCTTTTTGGATAAAATAAATAATCCTTTTCACAAAAGAATTTTTTTGCTTAATTTGATGAAAATAATCATAAAAATAAAAAAATATGCTGTTTTGGGAATGTTTTTGAATAATATGCTCAAAACTGCACGTTATTCGCTTTTTCAAATAATAAGACCAAAAGTGTTTTGAAAAAAAATAATTACAAAAAAACAAATAAGAAAAATTTAACATGTTCAAATCTCGGAGTAATCACTATTTCATTGTATTTCATTAAACATAAATCAGTGTATTAAATGAAACATAAAAAGAGTTTTGATATATTTCTCAAATTAAATATCAGCATTATTATAACCAAAAAAATGATTTAAAATCTTAACACAAATTAATTTATATGACAGTTTGTTGTTTCATTGAATGAAAATTAAAAAAATATTATATAAATTGATATTACAAAGTCGGACAATACCAAATAAATATATTGATATTATTGTATATCTCATTGTGTTCAAAACAGTATATCTGATAATGAAAAACAATAATAGTTTTTATTTAAATACAAGTTGATAACAACTTTGGATCTAGTTGACACAAAATTTAACAATTTGTTTTGGCTTGCATAAACAATTTATGTAATTTAAAAAACATATTATTTAAAATGAGTAATATGTATAATTACAATCCAAACTCGTTTAAATGGTAACTGAATTGTCGTGTTTGTTGTTATACTATTATGTTATCAATTATCATTTAAATAAATTGATAATAAATGAGATGTTAATTATGGGTAATGTTTCAACAATATTTTCATTTATAATTGATAATAAATGTAGTTCAAAAGTCTGTATTTTGAACTACATTTATTATCATTAGTATTATTAATACTAATGATATTATTAGTATTTTTAGTACTTCCAAAAGTCCCGTTTTTATTTTTTATTTTTCCTAAAAAACAAAAAAAACAAAAAATCGAAAATACAGACTTAATTTTGAAAAAAATACCAATCCCGTTCAATTATTTTTGTACGATATCGGGACTTTATTGGAATATTAGCCAGCCTTTTCCAAAAACTCTGATACTGTTATTTGATTTGACCACAATTCAATACTCCGCAACACAAACTCAACGTTTTAAGTCAAATTATACAACTATAAACACGTTAGTAAATTGGAATGTTATTGTTTGTGTCGAGTTTTAACCAAATATCAGTTTCGTTAGTTTTCATATTCAATTAAAAACAAACATGTGGTTTTGTTCTTTAAACAAAAAAATGAAATAACTAGTTTTAAAAAAAATAATTAGAGCAAACTCTTGATAATTTTGACAGACACAAGTCAAAGAAAAAATAAATTAGAGCAAACATTAAACAATTTTGTGTTTTGATATTTAAGTTATTATTGTTGTGACAACACCACCACTATATCGATATTACGCGATACTTTCACGCTTGTAATTTGTTTTAATAAATAATTATAATTATAATTATAAAAATCATGTTACATTAGGGGGCACCTCATTTTATCTATATTTTATAATACTTTAACTAAACGCGAGGGGGACGCGGAGATCTGAGCAAAGCATCGTCACATCTTTTAGATGTGGTGGATTATTACAAAATTCGGGATTAATCTTATGATTTTTTTTTCTTTTGTATAACATTTTTTTTCGAAAAAAAATTGTTTTGTAAATGAAAACGCCAATACCGTTAGTGTTTTAATTAAAACATTTCCAAAAATTGAAGAAAAAAAGGAAAAATGATAAATTATTGTATGTACAAATAGTTTGTAACTTTCAAAAGTTATTCATTTGTTTTCTGTTTTTTTTTTGATGTTCTTTGGTGATAGACATTTTGTAAATAAATATGGCGAAGCGAATGCTGTTTACATTTCAAAATATCACAAGGAAAGTTTTTTTTTGATAAATTTTAAGTTCAAAAAATAAACAAAAAAATATTTTTAAATTATATAAAAAACCTTAGAAATAAACACAATATTTTATAGATAAAATAAGAATAGTATTAATAATTTTTTAATCTAAAAAACAATTTTAAGTAAAAATCCCATAAAATGGAAAAAATACACAACCAATTTATAATCAAAAAATAATAATTATAACTAAATATTTCATATGATTCATTTATCAACAAAAGGGGTTAATAAAGTCGAAGAACCTAATAATATTATTGGACTACTTTTAATGTAAAAGCTAAACAACAACAACACCTATTTATACACCAGTAGTTTCATTACAACAATCACCCAGTAACATTTTTTCTTTGTTTTTTTTGTTCAGAAATGAAAAGGTTAATCATTGAATGTAGTAATGTGGTTGGAAAAGTCTTATTCAATGATAAATGGATTGATGTAGACATCATTGAATTGGATGAATTTTTGGGAATATTGTTATATATGGGTTTTGTGAATGAGAATAAAAAAAGTATCCGCTTTTTATTTGGAAACACATATGGAAGATCTATTTACAAAGCAATAATGTCTGAACAAAGGTTTTTACAAATATTGGCATCATTAAGATTCGACACTGGAGCACAAGAACGTGTAAAAATGAAGTTGAAGCGAAAAAGGAAAAAAACATAAAATGGAAGAAGATGACAATGATAAACCAGATGATACAACATTCATGACAAAAAAGTGAAAGAGAATGATGAAAAAAAAGATTATGGTTGTTATTCCCACATATCAAAATTTTATGAAATAAATGAATTAAAAAAATACATAAAAATAAACAAAAAACACATAAAAACGTGTTCAAAATTGAAAAACTTGAATTTGATGATGAACAAGTTGAATGTTTTGTTGAAGATGAAACAGTCGAAATAAATACTGAAAACTATACTTGTGACGAAAAACATCAATTTGAAATAAAAAGTTTAATGGATTTATTTTCATCAAATATAAAAACATTTGGTAAAAACATTATAAGTGGCAATTCTATATATTTATATATAGCAGCTTATAAAATTTATTTGGGTTTCTATAGTTCACTTTATGACAAAATTAATTAATAATCTAAACTATGCAAATTAATGCTAACCCTATCAAATTTATTTCCACATTTCCAAAAAAACTTTGAAAAAGGTAATGTCTTAATAAAAAAATTGAATAACACTTTGTTTTTGTCTAACTATGTTTCCAAAGACATTTTATAACAACAAATTTTTTGCTTTACCAATCGAATTATTATGCATTTTTGTTTTTAAACAATTATTTTCAATAATATTTTTAAAAATCAATACTTATATTGAAATTATTAATTTTTGTAAAAACACCAAAAAATTAAAAAATAATGAAAATAAGGTCGTCCATTGTAACACTGTTGTGTTTAAATCGACAATCGACACATTATTTTTGACTTGTGGGTCTGTGTCATTTACGCGCACGTTTACACGACCGAGTGTAATGAATTTTAAAAAAATGTATTAAATTAAATGTATTGTCTGATAGTATTAGTGTTATGCTTTTAAAAGGCATTGTAGTGGAATACATTTTATACTTTGTGATGTGTGTAGGGAAAGGTGTGCGTAAATGAAACATAAAGACCAATTAAAAATATGGGTTGATTCATAGAGTACTTTATTATCTCAAAAAAGTTAAGAAATGAATTAATTCAAAAATCTTAGTTGTTTTTGTTGTAATGTCTTATTGTTATTTTACTTAGATCGTTGCAAAAAAATGTTATCAAGAATGCGAACGGTTATTTCAACTATTATTTCAAAAATAAAAAATGCAAAATTTAGAAATTTTAACAATAATTTTTTTAATAAAACAAAAAATTAAATGGAACGATAAGTTCGAAGAGTTGTTGTGCACAAATTCTGGTAGAATTAAATTGCTCCGTTTAACCCAGTCATCTCATTTATTTAAACTTCCTAAAATTAAAATGAACAAATTTCTGAAAATCCAAGTTACCAATATAACTTCACATGGTCATTTTTGTGATATTAATTATCACCACAATAACACCGAAGATATCAATGAAACGGCTGAAACGACTTTTGCGAGTGAAAATATATTAATTCCAAATGATGTTTTGTATTTAAAACATTTAAAAGATAGAGTGAAATTACGAGAATGGAAAACTAAAGAAATGATATTTTTTGAATCAAAATGTCATTGTGATTATATTTCAACATAAAACGTATTTCAACTATTTGATTCTTCCATTTAAGAATATTATAAAAATATCATACAAAGCATTGAAAGAATTGTTATTATCGCACCAACGAGTTGTTGTGAACGTTCTTTTAAATATTGGGAAGATGCATATTCGGATAATATAAGTGAAAAGATGCAAAAGGCAAAAATGGATTCAAAAAGAATATGCAATGAAATCGAAAAAAAAGATATGGCCAACCTTTTATAAAGTTCTTTAATATCTGATCGTTCGTTTCATATTTTTGTTTTTTATTTCATTTTGTAATATTTTTATTTGTAAACTTGTTTCATAAAAGCGTCATTTTTTCAGTTACATTTTGTGAAAAATGAGATAATAATTAAAAATAATTAAAAGTACTTTGGGTATTAGTCTTGCAATATTTTTGCAATTTTTCTTCTGTTTTACACAAAATTTTCTTTAATAAGTATAAAAAATATTAGAAAATAATGTGGTACCGTGGACACTAATTCAACATTTTTTGGAAGCCAAACAAAAACAAAAAATGAGGAAATTGGGGTTAAGCAATTTATTGGTAGTACCAACTTTTTGTTAACAGTTTATAGTTAATAATGTTAATCAAATAAA